ATCCATCATGATCGGAGGACTGAACGAAACTTTTCCACCTATAGGAACTTGCTCATAAGGAGGAGTTTGGTTACCTTTGGGAAGAACTCCCGCATTCGCAAGCTCCTATTTAACCCTTTTTACGGCTGCCCTTCTTGTAGTCATATGCTATATTCACAAGAAAAAATATTAAAAGGCATGTAAAAATAGAGGCAAGACTCTTAGGCACAACAATAGCCTCTCATTCATAAGTGTGGCACTCTTCAAACCCATGAACAAGAATCTAACATATTTGGTTCATCACATATCAATCCTGAATATTATTCAATAATCTTATGCTCTGACATCAAGTTTTTCACGACCCGAGGTCACCCCAAGTCATAACATGGCATACTCAACCTTAAAGAGGTCTTATCCAAGCCCTTAGTATATCATCATTAAATAATACATTTAAACATATGGAAATATTTAGAACTTTAAAAAAAAAAGTCAAATTCTTTCATATATTAAAATAGAGCTTCTACACTTGTCATATTAACTATCATGGTTCAAATATAAGAATCTAAACATAGGGACCTTAGCCCTTATAATCGAAAGTATCCATATAAGAAGTATAATAGTAGTCTAGTACAAAAATAGAAGGAAGAAACATATTGGTATCATGTTGTCCTTAGCGCTTGAGAACAAACCAATTGGTCTAGGAGAATGTTATCCAAGCCTTTTTTTCTTATTCAATAAGACCTACTAGCCAAAACCTACACTTGGTATAAAAATAAGAGAAATATGGGTTAGTAGATTCCACTTGTACTAAGAATGAAAGTTATGCAATTAAAATCATTATAACATGCATAAAGGGACCTTTAGTTCAAACCACTATATTTCAAATTAAAATCCATAATGCACATTCTAATAATACACAATCAATCCATACCATGATATAATACGACATTTAAGATTACAAGCAACATTATAATAAAAAACACCTTTCATAATGTACACTCTTGATTTCATTTAGTCATTATATGAAAAGACTTTAGACACTACCCGTTTTTTAAGACTACTAGTGCAATATACATATGAGGCCCCATACCCCATCACATATCAAAAAAACGCTCAAGAGGACACAATCATAGCCACATACTTCCTTTATACTTATTTTTAACAATCGACGAACTTATCCATAACATACATACAGCATGTGAGATACATGGAATCTGGTGTCAACCCCTCACACTGATGGGAGGGTGTCCTCCATGCCAATGTGGGGCATAACATTCATGATAGTATATAATCCAATAGCTAAAACTTATGTGGGATTTATAATTAAGGGATATGAAGATTGCTACTACAAACCCTCTTTGCACTTCATGGTACTATTGTTTTCATCTCATGAGACCATTCGAGGAACCTACCTTTCTTTAAGAATGAACCTATCTCATGCATATCCTTTTGGTGATAAGCTTGATTTCCCTTATTAGGTAACCTTTAGACTTTATTTAAGCAGTAGTTTGTAAACAATATGTCAAGGACTTAATCCCTCATACATCATTAACTCAACGGTTACAAGATAAGAAATCCTTTCATCATAGAACCAACATCATAAGAGAATACTTCTTTCATAACATAGTCATTTTCGGGTGCATGAGAATTACCTTCAATTCAACATAACAACACAACCTTCATTATCTCAGAACCTTCATATTCATATAATAACATAACATTGTAACACATCATACATACTCGATCAAGCTTAAGGTTAAGGGAAGAGGAAAAATAATTCTACTCCACAACACATAACCAAGTAATTATGTTCATCACAATTGAACCAACAATTCATTACACTAATACTCATCACCTTGAAAGCCCTTACTTATAGCCTTCAAGAATTTACCCTACTTCCTTGTCATTGATTGATCATGTATATCAATATCACAATACCATAACGAATTATAAAAGAACATTCTTCATTCTCATTATTTATTCACTATCACCCAAAACTAGTGTTTATAATTTATTATGAATGGAGGTACACGGGTCTTGTGTATTTTCATTCAAAAACCATAAAATTAACTAAATTCATCCATAAAAAAATAATATATAGTCAAAATTAGTCAATTTAGATTAATGAAAAGAGGTTTAGAAAGAGATCCATATGTTTCATTAAAAATTTAAAATTTGCGGATTTTTGAAATCAAACATTAAACACCTTGGACGTTGGAGCCACCATACCTAATGGAATATTCACCATGAAATTTTGTTGAAAACCTTGGACCTTGAACCCTGTCTAGATGCTTGAATTCATTTAAATGGTAAACCTTGGTAGTGAGATAGTTTAGAGAGGAGTGAGTGCTTTTGATTATAATTTGGGAGTTTATATTTTGATTTGGGAAAATGTGTAAAATGACTTAAATCAATATATACTTAACCCCTGAATTGCCCAAAACAACTCTCACTTAGTTGGACTTTTAAAATAAAAGTCAAACTTGACCTTCACTAATGAAATCTTATCCATCCCTCACAAGCCCATTCACTAGCCGTTACGAACACCACAAGTTGTGGTGTGGCTCGTGAAGGGTGAGGAAGTAGACTCTAAAAATGGCGTAGCAACCTTACACACCAAGTACTTTTTACGACTAAGACCCCTTGTTTGTCAATATGCACCACGACCCATTAACTAGCTCATGGTGTCTTGGGTAGTAACCCTCCAAACATACCTACCTTCATTAAAACCAAGGAAACTCCACAACCACCTTCACTACTCATGGAGTGGACCACTAGTCGTTGTCCCCCTAGTGACGTTTGGGGGTCTAAGATACTTTGAGTCCTTCTTATTTGGAAAAAGAAGCTCAATGATGCCCCCCCCCCCCATTTGGCCATGGTCTTGACTATGAGCCGTGTTCATGCCCGTGGAGCTTGAGGCAGTAGCCTCTCTTTTGGACAGCCTTGGCTTGCGCCTATATCTTGGCACTCCTCCCTTGGTATTAAGACTTTAATAACTTGGTTAGATATCTATCTATATATTCATAATATATATGAGGTTTAGTCCTTAAACGTCACCTTAAAACCCACTACACGATTCTACCCTACACAAGTTCAAATCATTAGTTTTCCAGACATCATGGTCGTTTTTAAACCTTTAGGCACTAAAACTTTCTAACTGAGTTAGTTATACTAAATTAGTACTAAAACATAATTTGATGCTTTTAGAGTTATTTATCATCATGTAGGAGTCTACCTTAAGTCATTAGAATTCTGAGGTGTAACACCCGTGGTGTTAATGTTCTGGGGGTCGGGAGCACAAACCGTGAAGAAATAAAGTTTGAAGTGTTGTATAATCAGGAGATGAAATTTCTATCCAACCAAGGAGATGGGTATATTTCAAACTATTATATACATGATAGAAATCATGGTTGGGGCAGAAATGAAGGGTGGGATGATCGAGATCGTTAATGGGGGATCATTATCTGAATTGGAAAGCTGGGGAGAAAGATCAATATGTGCCTCCCCATGACCGTATAAAGCCCAATTATTAGAAAGGTGGAAGATTTGAGGACATTCTCTTGCGTATCCTCGAAAAATTTGAATGATCAGACAAGATGCAAAAAGGCATGAAAAAAATTTCAACTCTTAATCAGACCATTACCTCCCATTCAGTGTCGATCAAACAATTAGAAACCCAGATATCTCATATTCTTTCTCACCTTAATCCAATACCAAAAGGAGCTTTGACTAGTGATACTATCTATTGCTAATCCCAAAAGTAACATCTAAAATTGAGTTACCTGTGCCAGACATTAACTAAGGCACTGTTTGGGAGGCAACCAAAAATCCTTTTTAAATTTGATTTTGTTTCTTATTATAATAATGGTGTGATGTTGGTACAAATTGATGTGAGGGAAGTGTGTTAAAAAGTGTATGAATGACAATAATAGGTCTAGTAGGCGAACCACCAATAGGGTTAGCGAACATGATATCTTCAACCGTTTGATTCACTGAGACTTCAATTTGGATCCTGTAAACTTGGAAGTCTATAGAGCATTATTGGTGTACCACCGTTTAGGTTGGCGATAACAATGAAGAACATTGTAGGGATTCCTTCATGAGTAGGAGATCCTCTTAAATTCTGTGAAGATACTAGATACTCGGTGTTTCACCGAGTGTATAGGAAAGTTTAATTAATATCGCCAAACGTGCATAAAATTGATGGTTGCTACATGTAAAAGGTTTAAAAGTCCATTTTCAATTACTCTCGCTCATTTTTTACTCTACACAAATCACACTTGTAGTCTAGATTATATTTCTTATTTTTAAGAGTATTCAAGTAGTTGAAGTGTTCTCGGATTTGGACTGCATTGATGCCTAAAATTTTGTAACATCGTATTCGACATCAAAATTTAGTAACTCAAACCCCATATTTATTTCATTACTATAATACTCGTTCACATAATAGAAATCATTGTTGAGTCTCTCTTAGTTGATTGAAGTACATAATTCTCTATTTCAGTTCAACTTTTGTAAAATTTTAGAATCTCGTTAGACTATGTTTTGAGTTGTACTTATTTACTTTGGGAGTGTGAAAGTAATGTGAATCCTTTCTGAATTAATGTTGTATAGGTTTACATTGTAGTCCCAGATCTTTCGGGGTTAAACTTGAAAGGATGGGTTTTAAATAGGCATAATGAGTTGTTTGGCGTGCTGATTAGAGTTCGCGAAACGGTTCAGTGTTTTTCCTAATGTCCCCACATAAAATTTAAATAAATGTTAAATGTGTAGTTGATTTTTTAACTTTTGGTGATCAAGCTTATTTCTCCGAATGCATTCATCGACGTGTCAAAATATTTCTTGCTTGCCCTTTTTTCTGCATACTCATACCCTCAGTGCATTACTTTCAACAAATCACCTACATGGATGAACACTTCATGAACTAGTTTGGTGAAGTTACTCCACACTGAAAATTTACCTTATTGCCCCTACGTAAATACTCTCTAACTTTATCTTCATGTCTTTTCCGAAATGGCTAGAATAAATGTAGAGGGGAGAGGCATGTCATCTCGATAGGTAAGAGCATGGGAGTTTAAAAGAGACAAAAATATAGGAGATCTAGCCAAGGAGAGGTGAGAAAAGAAGAAGAAAAGTTCCAGCAGGAGGTTTCCTATTGACCATACTATCCCTTCGTGGAAATGTGGAGTCTACACTACTATAAACTCTCTTATGGCAGCGCAGAACTTGGACAGGATGATTGCAGATAATATCGCTGCAGAGGCTAAGGCAACTTAAAAAAAGGAGAACTATAATGATAATATCATGGGGACCATTGTAAAGTTCCAGGCGGCTGTATCAGGCACTGATGCCACGACATATGGAGCATGTATCTAGTTAGGATTCCCTAATAACCTATGTCTTTTTTCTTTCTTTCTCTACAAGATATTTTTTATAATTGCATTTAAGGATGAACAAATTTCTTTAATGTGGGGTGAGGCTCACCTCTGTTTGCTGACTATAAATGTTTGTGTTAATTTTGATTCTATCTTATATATATAGTTGGCTTATTGTTTTAAATTATGTTTTATACTTCTTGTGCGATTGTTTGATCTTACGTCTCCATTGGTTACTTTTTATTACAAAATGTCTCTTCCAAAAAAAAATATTTTTCAAAAAAGTTTGCCACCGCTTGTGTTGAAAGTTGTCTTGAAAATTTAAGTATCGGTTCCGATAAATGCCGGTAACTTGAATAGTGCTTTCAATTGAATAAACATGAGTGTGAGGATACAACGAGACAAAAAAAAGTTGCATAGACAATATGTGAACTTTTTACATCTTTTTGTGATTAGCCAATTGATAAATTTATTTTCTTCTAATGACCTTTGCAAGTAGGGAAGTGTAAAGTCTTGTTCAACTTAAGTATCAATGCCTTATGTGATAATCTTCCTATGAACCATGCATGAATACACATGGAATTTCCCCCATTAGTCAAGTCTATTAAGTAATGCTTTTTGTTGGAATTATCTTAGGGACTTTTGAAGAGTGTGAGTAAATTTTACATATACCTCTGTTGTGACCCACCGTGTGAGTCTGTGAATCTCTCTTCAACACCCTTGAACTTTACCTTTATTAGGGAGAAACATGTTTGAACATACACATTTATTTATCTACTACCTATAATACTCATGACTTTTGGTTTAGTAAATAGCCAACTTAAAACAAAAGCTTATGTTGGGGTATGATGAAAAGGAAAAGGCAAGTCGCGAAATTTAAGAAAAGTCTCCGTTAAATCATGGTATTGAAAAGGAATAGAAACCCTTCATATAAAAAAATAGAAAAAGAGAAAAATAAATAGATAAGAAAATAATTAAAAAGAACGTTGTAGAATAAAAGTACAAAAGAAATTGGGATTTCTAAGCCATTTATGGATGTGAATAATAGGATGACTTAGAAGCATTAGACGAAAAAATAATAAAAGAAGGTAAATAAAAGGAATTGTTGTGGGCACTATAATTCATGAGGATCTTTAGTAACTAAGCCTAAATAACCATACCTTAACATTCATCCCCATTACATGCCTTGAAAAAACATTTATGATTTTGCGAAAGCATAAAGATTCTTGACTGGAATATAAGGTCAAGCATGTGGGTGAAAATATGTGAGCTTTGTGTCTAATTCCTAAGAGTTAGATTGATTATACACCTGTGTGTGAGAATGGAATCATCATGGCATTCCAGTACTTATATTTGATCTTGAACTTGCACTTGAAGCAACTAAGGCGAGCTTGAGAATATTTGATAATGGTGTGTCACAACTTGAATCATTGGGTACACAATTGATTCTTGAATAAGTAGTTTTAGTCTAGTTGTGTATGTACATGATTGAGTCTTGTGTAGTACAGTTTTAGACATCGTATTTCAACTGGTCAACATAAGTTTTACTTGAGGATAATCAAAAGTTTAACTTCGGAGTGTTGATAAATCCACAAATTAGACTAATTTAGGTCTACATTTCAATAGAAATAGTATCCTCTAATGCTTGTTTTATCTCAATATCTTATTAAAACTATCAAATTTCATGTATTTGTTTAAGGAAAGCATGTACACTTTGGGAAAAAGTAATAAGAAGGGTGAAAAGAACAAAAGAGCTGAAGCCTGAGTATTGACAAGGAAACTTGACGCATTGCCGAAGTGATACACTTCACCTTTTTTTTCCAGCATGCTTCGATCTGAAGGAAGAGGATCAAATTGTCGGAGAAAGGAGCAGTTGGCGCACCACTAAACTGTTCTATGAAGCAGTACTATATTGCCCAAGGTAAAAGATTTAAAGGTGTTTTCAGCAGGAAAAAAAGGGCGATTAACTAGAAGAGGTAAATGGATTTAGGAATTCCACCGGGTGAGTTCCCGAGTCATTAGGAGAGCTCGACAACCTTGCCGACTGACCCATCGCAACACAAAATCTGAAAACTTTAAATACAAGGCTTAGTTATTTATTAGAGAGTCTGACATTAATCTAGTCATTAGACATAAACTTTAGTTTTTCATATTTCCTCTTAAGTATGAAGACGGGCTTTGGAAGAATTGAATATGGAAGGATCTAATGCTCCCCAAATTGGAAGTAATTCTTCTCAATTGTTTTTGCTCAAATCAAGACTTATCTTCTTATACCCATTTGATTTCACCTTCATTGAATATATGTTATTTTATTTCTTCATGTGTGGCTAAAAACCCCATTCTTGTGGTGTGATTTAGCAAATGTGAGTTCATATTATTGTTGGGTCTTGCTTGATAATAGCTTAGATATTGTTTAATGGTGATTTCGTGTAGACATTATCATTTAATCTAATGGAATTAAAATTGAAATAGAAGTTTAACAATGTATTTTTGGTTTTCGAGAGATAAAGGTCGCAAAAACAAGACCACTAGATTGATGGCCTAAGGATTTCATCGATATAAGGTTCAGACTGAGAAGGCGAGCCATAGTCCCATCTCCTAACACTCAGCTCGAGAGAGAGAGAGTGGGGTAAGGAATAGGCTGGTCTTCATGTGACAGATGGGTGTTCGAGAGGAACCCATTTGAAATGGGGCAAGTTGCTCAAGAGAGAACATATTTCCAATAAAAGATTAGCCTAGTTACTATTTATCTGCAAATTTTATGTCGAAGGCATGCACCCAATAATCTATATTAACTTCTATTGCGGCATATCCCTATAATTCCCCCCATACTTTATATATTATTTTACCTTTTTTACTAATTTTTAAAAATATCCCGTTTGATATTTGACACTTTCATGTCACCCCCTTTTTAATTTATTATGTTTTTACTCATAAATCTCTTTAGCTACAACAAGTTATAATAGAATTCTAATTAGCTACATATTCTCAAAACCGCTCCCTTAAGACACGACCCCTACTATCTGTTGGGTTACTATATTATATACAATCATAGACACTTGAAGCGTAGTTAGTGTCGTTTGTCGCGACAAGTATCACAATCCCAGGGGTAGAATTCATAGAAAAATACAACCTGCATAGATTTTTCTAGGAGCACCATTTACGAGTCATAGTTCATCCTACGGACCATAAATGATATTCATAGTGATTTGGGCATTATGAACAACTGCATGTTTGATATATGAACATCTTTTACGAACCGTAAGTAACACTTCGGTCCATCGATTGTGTTCGTAGGTCTTAGGTATGACTTTAAATTTTCTATGTCTGAAGACCCAGTCCAAGGAATAATTCTATGAACCATGGAACTATACACGATTGTTCTTAGCTTCAAATTTCTCAATCCTAATTCGAAAAGATCACCCGATTGTACTCGTGACACAACCTATACTTTTCAAAATTCATACCCATTAAGTTTTTTCCCTTAAATATCCAAACACATCACACTCCCTTCTAAATTGTTTCCCTTTCTCTTTCGTACACCCCCTATTATATTTCACTCCTTTCCAACAAACTCTCTAAAAAAAAAACTTCCATCTAAATAAAAAAAACCCATCAAATTTCTCCAAGAAGACACCACTCGTATTTAACTCGTATATTTATTCAGATGCAGCTCAAATGAATTCTAAATTAGACAAATTATTGCGTCTGTTTTTAAGCATTAAAAAAAAGACATCACAAATTTACAATTTCAAAAATAATGAAAATAATTTATCACCAATCACTTACGAAAAAATTGAGGAAGAACATTTTTAAAACTGCGGTAACTAAAGAAAAGGATGAGTATTGAAATTTGTTTCAAGTTACACTAGTAATTTCTAGCATAAGTTTCCTAGACTTGGGGTGAATTTGAAATTTCAAGTTTTATTAGGTTGTTTTGTTTTTTTATTTAGATATTTTGAGTGTTTGAATTTTTACTTATTCAGATCTTTTGTTGTAATAGTGCTATTTAAAGCCCCATATTCTTAATAAAAAGATTGAGATATATTTCCAACTTTTATTGTAGGCTTCATATTTTTAGAAAAATAACACTTTGTTTGTACGAGACATAGAGATCTCTTGGTTGTTTGCACTTTCAATACTTTAACTTGTATGGTCTCTTAAATTTAATTTTTAAAAGTGACACACTTTCGTTGAGTTTGACAAGATAGTTGAGCTATGGGGGAATTTTAAACAAGTACATTTTTGAAGTTTTCAAGGTGTATGCATTCACCATAATAAAACAAATGTTTTGAATATACAAGTCTATAAATCAAAGAGGTTTTGTCCATTTGTATGGTTTGAAAAATCACTTTTTGGGCAAAAGAATTATATGAAAAAGGATAAATCAATTAAACTAACTGTTTTCTCTTTGTAGGATAATACAAAATAGTAATAGTGCAAAAAATTTATTTGTAAAACTTAATTTTTTACAAGAAGAAAACAAGAAACATAAAATAGTAATTTTAATTAATTTCTTATCAGTTATACATGATTGCAACAAGTGTGTTTGTTTCATTGATCTCTTAATAAATTAATGATAATTATGTTCTCTACCAATGATAAGTAAATTTCAATATTTATTAGAGATAGTGGTTTCTGCTTTAGAAATGAAAAAATAATAAATTTGGCATAAATTCATATTAATCGTTCCAGTAGTGTGTAATGATGAAATCATGTAATCAAAAAAAAATTTAAATGCATAAATATCAAATATAAAAGATAAATATATCACATATAAGAATAATTTTATCACAATGTATATATTAAAATTATTGAGGAAATATATGAGCACACTATATTATTTATGGGGTGTGATTTTCCCCCTTTTTTATACATATGTCACAAATAGTAAGATTTTCATTTAATTAAAATAAAGTATTGTACCTCAAGCGTCAACATGCAATAAGTTCCCCTCTCAGTATGTATAAAGCAAGAGTACGTTTTCATTGTTGAATCTCAGATCCACTCTCTTCGTGAATTCCAATAAAACATTATACTCTCTCATCACCGATCTTCTAGGGTTTTCCATTTTGCACATCACAACACTTCTTTGGCGATTTATCCATCATTTTAGTTTCGCCTTTTGTTCTACTCTAGGACACCGTCACCTTTCCACCGAAAAAGCAACCAGATTCCGACAACCAA